AAAACACCTGGGCTTGTTCCGGAGTCATTCCTTTGGCCTTCATCAGCCAGCAAAGCGCGATGGTCGCACTTCGCGCGCGGCCTGCTTTGCAGTGGATGTAGACATCTTTCTCTTCGGCGACAAACTTCTCGATGAAGCGGACTCCTTCGTCGATGTCCTCGACACTGGGCGGAGTGAAGTCGACCGTCGGCAAGTAAAGCTGCTCGACCCCATGTTCTTTATAGACATCCAGGGGGCCTTCGTATTCCTGGCATGTGTTAATTACCCCTTTGATGCCGCTTTCGGCCAAGTCGACGGCCATTTTCCGAGAAGGAACCGCCCCGACGAAGACATGCTCTTCGATCTGGTCGTACCAACGCCACCACTTCAGCCGCCGGATCATCGTCCAGTTATAGACGTACGAGGGCCAATAGATCGATTTCGCGTAGAGATGCTGAAAAAAACGCTTCATGACGGCTTAAAAACGGTTCATTTCCGAGGGGATACTCACGATTCGGTGCAGGGATCAAAGCATTTGATTCCTTTTGCCCACCTCACCGATTATGATGGTTGGCGGTGTTCGAGCCCACCCTGCCCGAGCGATTCGCTGCGGCAGCCTTCCGAAAAGGGGCAAATATCATGCCTCTCGCCCACCTACTAATCATCTCGAGGAGAATCGTTTCCATGTTGCGCTTGGTGTGTTGCTTGGGCCTGCTGTTGAGCATGACCTCATTTGCGTCCGCGGAAGATGCCGCTTTGAACCAACCGCCTAAGGGATTCAAGTTGCTCTTCAACGGCAAAGATTTAAATGGCTGGAAAGGGCTTGTCGCCAATCCCAAGAAACGAGCCGAGATGTCGGCCGAAGAACTCGCCGCCGCCCAAACCAAAGCGGACGAGTCGATGAACGCCCATTGGAAAGTGGAAGATGGCGTTCTCGTTTTCGACGGCAAAGGGCAAAGCCTCTGCACCGCGAAGGACTACGCCGACTTCGAGATGTACGTCGATTTCAAAATCAAGGAAGCTGGCGACAGCGGTATCTATTTGCGTGGCAGTCCCCAGGTTCAAATCTGGGACCCCAGCAACAAAGGCCCGAACCCTGACGGGGTCGGTTCCGGCGGGCTCTACAACAACCAGAAGAACCCCAGCCAGCCTCTTGTCACCGCAGACCATCCGATCGGCGAATGGAATACGTTTTTCATCCGCATGATCGGCGACCGCGTAACGATCAAGCTGAACGGCAAGTTGGTCACCGACGACGTCGTGCTGGAAAACTATTGGGAACGCGACAAGCCGATCTATCGCACCGGACAGATCGAACTGCAAAACCATGGCAACACGCTCTACTTCCGCAACATCTATATCCGCGAGCTAGTCACGCCGGATCAGATCGAAAAGATGGAAGCCGCTTTGCCGGAGAAGCCTCGCGTTGCGCCACAGGAAAAGCAAAACGTGTTGGTCTTTACCCGATACCATGGCTTCCGCCACAG